TCTTTCTCTTTCTCTCTCTTTTTCTCTTTCTCTCTCTCTCGCTCGCTTTCTCTCTCTCTTTTTCCCTTTTCCGATATTAAACTGGCAATAATAATTTTTTACCTGGAGAAAGTGATAAATTGAAAAATTTAAGTCAAAAGAGGGTTTTTTCGGCTTACCAATTTTTGAATGTTAATTAAATAAATTGATTTAGGAGGAGAAGCGAGGAGGGGGGGGTAAAGGGTTTTCGCATCGGATTTTGTTTTTATATACCTTTTTATCATTATTATTATTATTATTATTATTATTATTTCTTCCTTCTTTTGAGACTTTTTTTTTCTTTTCGTTGCGTGACTTTTTCGCATGTTTCCTACTCGTGTTTTTTTTTTTTTTTTTTTTTGATTTTTAAAATTCAAATTCTCAGTCCGAACAAACATCGTACGGGGAAGGAGAGAGGGGAGGGGAGGGGAGAGTCGGCGGGTCGAACCCTTTACTTTAACTTTTTGTCAAGTTTTTTTTTTTGTTGACGGGGACTTTCTAATGAATATTATTATTATTATTTCAACTCCCTTGAAATTTTGTTTTCTTTTTTCTTTCCTTCCTTACACGACAACGAACGATTTCCTTTCGATTACAACAAACGACGTAAGAGTCAAAGTTCGAGCTGAAGAGAGAGAGAGAGAGAGAGAGAGAGAGAGAGAGAGAGAGAGAGAGAGAGAGAGAGAGAGAGAGAGAGAGAGAGAGAGAGAGAAAGAAAGGGAGAGAGAGAGAGAAAAATGATTCCAGATGATTTTCCATTTCTTCGTAACGACGATCGACTCGAACCACTTCAAATCAAAAGAATTTCCTTCCTTTTCAAACTCACCCACCCCTCCTTCTCCCTCCTCCCCCGACGAAACTCCCTTAATTTTTTTCCTTATTTCTTTTTTTCGCATTCCACCACGTATTATTTATTTTTATGATTCTCCAGCTGATGAATATAAAACAGAAGAAAAAATAAAATAATTTTTTTTTTTTATTTAACCGAGGTTACAACTGGAACAAAAGGTCCGACTTCGAATATGATAAACAAGGCACGTAAAAAAAACTTTTTGGCCAAAAAAAAAAATAAATAAATAAATAAATAATAAAAACGGGGGCGGCGGCGGCGGCGTAGCGGGGGAGGGGGAAGAGAAAAAAAGAGAAAGACAGAGAGAGAGAGGAAAAGTATAAGAAAAAAAAAACAAAAGACGAAACAACTACAAACACACCGAGACAACGTTTCAAAAAAAAAAAAAAAAAAGTTTTAAATTACGAATTATTATTTTCGCCGTTTCGTCATCATCCATTTCCGGTTTCGAACGGAATCTCAAAGTTTGAGCAAATTTGATTTTATAATAATAATAACAATAACAATAATCATAATAATAATAATTAAATCATAACAATTAATTATTTTCTAAACTTTGAATTGCGAGAGAAAGAGAAAGAGAGAGACAGAGAGAGTGAGCGGGGAAGGGAAGGTGGGAGGGGAGAGAAGGGGGAAGAGAACGGGGGGAAGGGAAGGGAGAGGATTTTGTATGAAAACAAAATTATTATTATTCGATTATAATTTCAAATTAATTTCTCACGGGAACGAGAAAGTTAATCTGTCACTCAAAAACCCCGAACAAAATTAATTTTATAACAAAGGTTTATTACTTGATTTTTTTTTCTTTTTTTCAAAACCGGAAACGGCATAACAAAACAAAACGAAACCCGCAAAAAAACAAAAAAATTCTTTTCCTTTCCTTTCCTTTCCTCTCATCTCATCTCCTTTCTCCTCCCCTTCCCATTTCCTATTTTTTCCATGCGAAATACTACGGAGTATACTTAAAAAAAATGAATGAAAAATTCATGATAACCTTTAAACTTATCCCCGTTTTCCTCCTCATTTGTTAAAAAAACAAACGAACGAACAAACAAACAAACAACGCGTAATTTACGAATCAATCAAAACAAAACAAAAAAATCAGAGAACTGAAGTGAGCGAGAGAGAGAGAGAGAAGGAACATTTTTAAAAATTTTTTTTAACGCGAAAAATGCCTCTTATTAACTTTCGGTAAAAAGACCTCTTACAGCGTAAAAAAAAAAATTTTCTTTAAAATTTTCCGAGGTGTTTATTTATTATTTGTCGATGGCAATCGACGGACGACAAACGTTTGTCGATTATACTTTGTCAAAGGTACGTTCAGAAATTCAAAAAAAAAAATTTTTCTCTTTCGTGATTCGTCGAAATATTTAAATGACGTCATTTCATTATTCTTATTAACCGAAAACTTTGACTATCGTCATCATTTTTTTTTTTTTTCGTTTTAAACGATGATGACGCCGATGATGATGATAATAATGATGATAATGATGACGTAGTGACGAAATAATCTTCTCCTTTTTTATTTTTTCGATAAATTTCCACAAATCATTCTTTTTTTTATTCGTAATATAAAAAATAAAATAAATTCGTCGGCGAGAAAATAACTTTTATTTTTATTTTTTTCTTAATAGACCTTTTTATCTAATGATAAAGTTTCGATGGAACGCATGTAAAATAAAAAATAAGAAAAAGGAAAACAATGGAAAAGTTGGGAAAAAAAGGAAAACAGAAAGGAAAATTGAATTTTGTAATTTTCAAAAATGACGTCGAAATTTTTTTTACTTTTCTACATCGAGTATTGAAATCACGAAATAATGAGATTTTTTTCCCTTTCCCTTCCTTTCCTTTCCTTTTTTTCTTTTCTTTTTTCCTTTGTTTCTTTTTTTTTATTTTTTTTTGAACACTATAAAAAGCTATAAAAAATTAGTTTAAAAGTAATAATTTTATATATAGTCCCATTGTGTGAAAAATTTTTTCACATGCACTTTTTTTTTTTACGTCGTTCTCGTCCTTTCTTCCCCCCCCTTCCCCTCTCTACCTCTCTCACTTTCATTTCGGCCCACAAAATAATAATAATAACGTCATATTCTCTCTCCATCTCTCTCTCTCTCTCTTCCTTTTCCAACATCGCTCTAATAATTTTAAATATTTTATTACGAAAAAAAAAAACGAACGGCGAATTTTTTTTTTCTCGCCACTCTTCATTAGGAAAACTTTTCATTCAGGTTTTTACGAGAGTCGGAAAATGAAAAAAAAAAAAAAAAATTTCCGAGGCGTCTATTTTCCTACCACGTCCCCACGGCCAGACCATCCAACCAGTCAACGTTTCTTCTTTCACGATTCCCTCCTTTTCACAATGGAAAATATCAACAACATTTTTTTAATATTTTTTTTTTTTTGCCTTCCCTTTTTTATTTTTTCGACCTTTTTCCGCCATTTACCCCCTCCTACCGTTCCCCTTGATTTGGGAGGGGGGTTTTAAATGTACTCGCGAAGGCGGTGCCCAAAAAATATTCGGTAATTTCATTTGGAATTTTTCTTCTTCATTTTCAGGTTTTTTTTTTGTGTGTGTGTGGTTAGGTGTGTCGTGAGAACTTTAAATCTTATCTTATTGATTAAATTTTTAAGATAAATAATAATAATAATAATTTTTTTTTTATGCAAACAAAATTTAAAAGTTTTTTTTTTCAAATACAATTTTACCATTGTCTAATTTCCTTTGACGAATAAAATAAATAAATAATTTTTTTTTTGTTGTAAAAAATTTTATGGGAAAAATGACTGACTATAATGAGTTCTCAACTTTTTTTTGTTTTTTCACATATTAAAACTAAAATTCACCCCTCCTCCTTCTCCTCCCTCTCCTCCTCCTACTAATAATACTACTCATTCTGTTAAGTTTAATTACTTTCATGAGGAATTTTTCCCTAATGAAACCGGAAAAAGAAGGAAGGAAGGAAGGAAGGAACAAATTAAAAAAAAAAAGAAAAGAAATCGATTGGAAAAAACGAACCGGATAACAAACGGAACGAAACGTTTATTTATAAACTCTGACAAACAAACAAACAATCGGGCGAACGAACGGAAAAAAAAGTTAAAAAATTTCGGTGGAACCGGAAATAAATCCGCGCACCTCTTCGAGCGTCGCGAACGGATTTTATCCTTTTCTCGTACTCTTCCGCGATCCCGTGAACAAATTCCCAGACCCCCGGTAATCCGATTCTGTCCCGTCCTTTTGAAACTCGATAAAACAATGATAATGATAATAATAATAATATAAATTTTAAAAATTCGAGAATCGCAAAAATTCTCGGTATCGATAACGTAGTCATTTTAACGAGTTAATGCGCTCCTAACGACACGACGTCGTCCTTATCAAAAAAAAAAAAAATGGCGAACTTGTTTTCAAAAAGTGAAAAATGAGACGAAAGAATCGTAAACCTTTCGTTCGTAGTAGTAGTAGTAGTAGTACAAACGCAATCACGAAAACAATCAAAAACAATCGAACAATAACAAACAATCGGCGCCGTAAAAAAAACAAATTGTAACGAAACTAATTTCCAAAGAATTTAATCAATCAATCATCACCGTAAACACTCATTATTATTATTATTATTATTAATGTTTCTTTTGTGTGGCACACGAATCTGAACGCACTTACGAACGCACACGCACGCACCCAGAGAAGGAAAGTAAATTTATTATAAGGCACACAAAATATCTTCTGCTATTTAAAAAAAAAAAAAAATTACAAAACAGTTCGCGGCCTCCGGGAAGATGAATGAATCATTTAAGGTGTGGGACTCTCCTGAATTCTGGAGAGGATTTCTTTTCATTTGTTTATTCTGCCCACCACATCATCCATCCATCCATCCGTCCATGTGTTATCCAGGTTAAGTTCACTGCCTTCTATACAAATCGTGCGATTGTTTTCCCATTTTGGAACAACGTTTCGAAATATCAAAAACAAAAAAATTTTTTTGCTTTACCGCCCGAATATTTTCAATGGAAAAACAAACCGATAATAATAATAATAATTATTATTATGATAATGATGATTATGATGAAAGAGCGCGAATTCGTAATTGCAATCAGGTTTTTTTTTTCTTTTTTTCCAGCTGTGTCCATGTCAAAGCGTAAATGTTTGATGGTAATAACCAATCCAAATTCCTCCAGTTCTTTTCCTCGATCGAATACCCGACAAGTATCCGGGACTCTCCCTGCACAAAGTCATAATAATAATAATAATAATAAACCTTCATTCCCCCCCGTCGCTCTTGAAAAATACTGAATTCTTATTTTCTCTTCGTTCCTTTTTCCACACCCCCCCTGGCCGCCGCGACCGCTTCCCATTTATCACAATCCGACCGACATCTTTCTAATTCCACGACATCTTTCCATTATTGTCTTTCATCGGTGTTGAATGACAAATAAGGAGAAATTTTAAATAAACAAAATCCAAATATCGCGATCGATATAATAAAATGATTAATTTACAATGTCCAAGGTCCATCCATCCGTAACGCCCATGTCTCTGTCTCCCCCCTCTCTCTCTCTCTCTTTTCCACTACGATAAAAAAAAGAAAAAAGGAAAACACTAAAAGCAACACTACGAGCTGAGTCCAGCAAACTCGTTTTCCAGCAAAAAATTTCCTTCGTCTCTCATTGATATCCCGAGGCCACCCAAAAACATTTTTCCGCACGTGAAAAATCTCGTTTGAACTTGTTTAAATTTGTTCGGACTCGTTGTTGGGAAAATCACTTTTCCCCCTCCCCACCCGTCCTCCCCCAATTTTTTTTACATCATACTTTATTATCATTATCGTCTTTTTTTTCTTTTTTTGTCGCATGAACTCCCGCCGTTTATTTGTTGTTTTCTTTCGTAATTTTTTACGCAAAAAAAAAAAAAAATTACATCAATCAAAACGATTTATCATTTGATGACGGCGGCGATGATAATGATAATGATGATGATGATGACGAGTACGACGACGATTGGATGAGGGGTGTGTGTGTGTGTTTGTGCGTGGGAAAAAAAAAACAAAACAATGAAATTCTTGCGTTAATTTTTTTTTGTCGCCGCTAATATCCGTACCCGAATGCAAATCATCATCATCATCATCGTTATTATTATTATTATTATTATCATTACAACGTTTAGTTCCACGATTTCGACAAATTTGGTAATTATTATTACCATGTTTGAAAAGTTCGAGTTTGAGTGGTAAAAAAAAAAAAATAAACTATAAATAACAATTTACGCCCCGGTAATTCGCTCAACCTGCATTTCATAAATTGTTTTAAAGAGTTTTGCTATAATTAAATGATGATGCTCTCATCTTTAATTACTCTTAACTGTAATTACGACTATCTTTTTATTTTTACCCTTCCCTCCCCTCCCCCTCTTTTCCTTTTCACCTTTTTCCCTCTCTCCCCCGCCCCGATTAATTAACCGAAAAGCGCGTGAAACTCGCATTCACTCGTTTACACTTTGTCGAGCCACGAGTGAAAAAAGTTAAAGGATGGAAAACATGTAGAGAAAGAAAGATAGAATAACAAGGAAGAAAAAGAGAGAGAGAGAGAGAGATGGAAACGGGTGGTACGACACCATCATCCTCAAATTCTTCTTCTTTCGCCAAATCCTTTTCCCGTTCGTCGCCATCCGGTCGACGCGATCGTTCGTAAAAAAAACTAAGAAAATATAAAAATCGAAACTCGATTCGATAAAACTCGAATCGATGACGATAATAATAATAATAATAATAATAATAAAAGAATATAACAAATAAAAAAAAAAAAAAAATTCAGTCATTCCGTGGATTTGCATAGAACAAGGACCCCGAGTTTCCCATGGACATTAAAAAGAGAGAGAGAGAGAGAGTGTGGGCACACACTCATGATGATGATGATGATGATGATGAATTCGGCTTTTGAGTGGGTTGAACCGAATGTATATATATATTTATATACTTTTTTTTCCTTCTTTCTTTATTTCACGGTCTTAAGAAGGGCTACACACTCCGTAGCCCTCAGTTCATTCAGTTAGGTATGTGGGCCGAACTTGAAACAGGTATGATGATCATTCAACCGTTCGACTCTCCTCTCTCGTCGGTTATTTTCCTTCTTCTTCTACCAACCATTCCTTCTTTGCTTTATTATTATTATTAATATTTATCTCTCTCTCTCCTTCTTTCGAATGCTTTCGAACTAGGAACGAGTGTAGGCCCGACATGAAAATTTATCCTTTTCCTTTACACTTCCTACCACACAATTGACGAACGTTAAAGTTTTCTATTTAAGTCCAGACGTTTAATTTATACGTTTAACAAGTTTTCTTTCATTTTTTCTTTTTTTCTTTTTCTTTCTTTCGTTTTAATAAATTGCGTATAAGCAAGCAATGCCACCTCTCGTCCTTTTGCCTCCGCGTGCGTGTGCGTTTGCGTGTGCGAGACCATGTGTGTGTTCTCTCTCTCTCTCTCTCTCTCTTAAGCGTGGGTCTTTTTTCCATGTACGTCTGCGTTTATTCGGTGTCAACGGACGTTGATAAAAAAAAATTTATACCTGATTTTCCATCGTCGATTTAAACGAAAAAAATAAATAAATAAGGCGGATTCAAATGAATGCAACGAATAACAACCACAACAACAACAACAACCAAAACAAAAACAAAAAATAAAAACGATAATCCAGACGGATTAAGTAATTCAACGTTGTTGTTGTCCAGCCAGGTATCGAGCGGTGCAAAAAAAAAAAAAATAGAAAAAATTTTCAGAGATGAAATAACAACAAGTGGTGGGTCGTACATCATCATCATCATTATCATCATCGTCGTCGTCACCCCACGCGAAATCCCTTGGAATCAAAGGGCAGACCCAAGTCGAGTGTTGTGTTCCATCGAAATGTGCTCCAGGCAATCGTTTTACAGTTAGTTCCACCGTGTATATCTCCACCGGTTTAAACAATCTTTCTCTCTCTCTCACTCTCTCTATCTTTCTCTGTCTCTCTCTATCATTTTCAGGCTAAAAAAATTCATCATAGGCAAGGAATGAGGTTAGTAGTAGATAAGGACCACCCGCGATTTTAGATTTACAATTTAAAACGTTTTTGACTGGATTGCACGATTCGATTCCACAGGTGCTGCTTGTTGTTTTTTGGTTGTTGTTTTGGTTGTTGTTTGGTAGTCGATATAAATAATACGAAAGATCATCAATCGTTTTACTATTATTATCATTATCATTATTTATTTCTTCCATACTTTCCGACTTGTTCGTTCCGAGCGTTTGCGTTCCAAACACTGAAATTTATCATCGATATCATCCCATTAAAAAAAAATTTCCAACAAACAAACAAACGAACAAACAAAAAAAAACGTTCGAGTCGTTAATTTATAATAACATAATACGTTTGATGTCGTTCGAAATAAATTCCACGGAGAGAGAAAGAGAGAGAGAGAGAGAGAGAGACTTATACAACCAACGTCCAAATCGACAACAATCCCCCCACCAAAAAAAAGAATTTTTTAAAAAAATGTTCGAATAATAATAATAATAACTTTTTTTTTTTTTACCGAGACAGAAATCAACATATTGAATTGAAAAACGAACTTGTGTGAGAGAGAGAGAGAGAGAGAGAGAGAGAGAGAGATAATAAATTTTCTATAAGTTTCCAGGAGAAAATTTTTACACCAATATGGAAAAAAAAACTTGTGCGGATGCCATCTTTTTTTTTTTTTAAATTGACGGCACGTAAAACGACGGATGGGGGGGAGGGGGAGAGAAAAATATGAAAAGCATTAATAGGAGGAGAGAGGGTTTTTAATGAAAAAACGTAAGAAAAAGCAGAAGAAAAAAAAAAAAGTAAATAAATAAAATAGAAATTAAAAGCACGTGGGAAATAAGTGAACCGAAAAATTGCACACTCGGGAGAAATTGTATCGAAACGCTCTGCGTCAACGTCGTCATCGTCATCGTCGTTATAACTTTTTCTCTTTCTTGTCAAAAAAAAAAATAATAATAATAATAATTCGCTCTCATTGGACGCGATTAATTAAAAAATATAAAAATAAATTTTTCCGTTGCTCAAACCGTCACCACCGCCGCCACCGCCACCGCCGTCGCCACCAACATTCGTCAGTCTCGCACGCACACACACAAACAAAACGTGGGAGTCGAATAATTTTTTTAAAAAAAAAAACGACGTTTTTTCTCTCTCTAACCTTTTTTTTTCCTTATCCGATTCGACACCCGACCTCCCACGCACTTTCGCACGCACTCACGCACGCACACGTCGAACAATCACGTGGATCTCCAATATTCACACGTAGAAAACTTTTTTTCAAAATCGAGGGAGAAAAAATAAGATTTTTGCGACGAGTGACACTTTCAATCTTCCCCTTTCTTCACCCTCTGCGTTTGGTCCATGATCACCCGCCATCGCAACCCCCCCCCTCGCGTAGTAACAACAAATAATAATAATAATTCCCGAAAAAAACTTTCACTCGTTTTTTTAAAGTCAAATCGAGACAACCGAGTGCGTGCGTGTTTCTTCGTTTTCGTTTTTTTTTCTTTTTTTTTTTTTTTTTTTTTTTTTATTGAGAACACACACAAACAGAAACAAACGATCAAGCAAGCGAGAGAGAGAGAGAGAGAGAGGGAACAACAAACACGCAAACGAGTATTAATATGTATGCATGTACGTGTGCGATCGAACGACGTCCGACGATACCATTAAACAAGTTTTTATCATTCAAACGCACACTAAAAAAAAAAAAAGAAAAAGAAAAAGAAAACGAAAAAATTATTCATAAAAAACATTTTATAGACCGTGACAAATTTTTGTTTATACGTTTTTAATATCGTCTGCTATAAACTACAAAAAAAAAACGAAAAAAGAAGACAAAAAAAGAAAAATTCAATAAATAAATAAATTAAAAATCACGAAGGGTTACGCATTTATACATCTATATATATATTTATTTATAGAAGAACGAATTCAAACAAACGACAACTACAAACAAAACAAAACAAAAACAACCAAAAAATCTAGTTTTTATAGTCTACAAACTCGTATATAGCTCCTAATAAATAATTTATTTAGTAAGAATTCACGAAATTTTTCCTTTTTTTTTTTTTTTTTTTTTTTTTAAATCATCATCCGTTGGGATTGGACAGAAGGAAAAAGACAGACGGGAGGGGGTGGGAAAGGAAAAAAGAAAATTTTTGTGAGGGGGAGGGGAAGAGACGAGCAAACATTTGACAAAACACGAATTTTCCAGATTTTGCGCCCCGAGGAAGACGAAAAACCGCCCCCAGGGGCAAACATATAAAATTTTCTTATTGATTTTAAACGTTTCGAAGGCAGGGGGAGTAGGATGGTTTGTGCGTGAGGAGGAGGAGGAGGAGAAGGAGGGGTCCCCCACGAAAACATTCCGTCGGCAATTTTGTTATTGAATTTAATTCTTCTTGCGATGATTTACAAAAGTTTCGTCTTCCGTCATTTTTTTTTTTTCCACGGAAACAAAATAGAAAATTTTTAACTTTTTCTCGTCCTTTCTCTTCCTTTCATCCTCCCCCTACTCCCTTCCTCCGCTTTCTTCGATCTTTTTTTTTTTTACTAAATAACCTTCTTCAAATTTTCGATCGATCGTTTTAATTTTCGCCAACCACGAATCCACCGATATAAACCGCATCTATC